CCCCCACCCACCCCGCCCCAGAAGAGGAAAAAAAAAAATTCATTTCACCGTCCCGTCCGAACAACGGCACAGACTTCCCCAATGAGCAACGGTATATTACGAAAACGTTAACGTCCTCTAGGGAAAAAAAAAAAAAAAAAAAAAATACACGACATCAATCGTTATCATCAATCAGGCCTATTCTAGCTACGATAGTTATTCCGCAACGATAAAATGAAAAAAAAATTTGGAAAAGATGCCAGAGTTTCCACAATTGAGCCAGACCGCGCAGGGAGGAGGGGACTGAGTTTACTGTATCGGTACAGTGCAGAGAGAGAGCATGTTAGAGTAGATGCAATAGTTACAAGTACCATGGACGCACTCCAACCGTGAAAACCTTCCCGTTGCGCCGGAACAGCGAAGATGAGCGCAATGAGACAGCCATCATTACAAGTACGAGTACTTTAGTACTAGTGTACAAGCACATGCCCCAACCTGACCAAAGCCAGACAGAGTTACCGCATCCCCGTTCCCCACGGTCACGATACCATCCCAACCCACAGACAGACCAGAACAGACCGACAAGGCACAAAAACGCCTCTCGAGCCAAAAAAAAACTACGATACGCCATGCAATGTCAATGATACACTGTGCAGTGCAGTAAAGTACAGCTACTCGAGTACAGTCACAGCATCACACGAACAGAACCCCTCCCCGTTCCGTTCATCCAGTACCGCAAGCAAGCAAGTACCACGGTGTCCCCACTGACACCCCCCTCCCTTCCCCCCAAAACGCACATACGCAAGATCTACAGTGGTACTAGTACCGTACACTACCCTACGTAACAGTACTTGTACGGTACCCCATCCCCCCCCCCCCACTCCACTCCATCCCATCGCATCCCATCCCACTCCATCCCATCCCTTCAAACCCAAACCAAGCCGGACCGGACCACTCTTCGATACTGTACTGTAATTAACGAGTTGCTATACATACAGGCACGAAGGAAGGGGGATCGAATCCTGATTTACAAGGTATAGCACAGTACAACGTCCCGAGTACCAAGAAATACCAAGAGCAAAACGCAACCGGTAAACCGGTACAATTGCCGTCACCAGCAAATCTCTCCACCCCAATTTCGAAGAGCGGCAAGGTACCGGTTACTTCTACCGTACCCAAACGCGATGGGATGTACAAGTGCTGGATGATGGCCGCTCTTGGCTTACATATATACCGTTCCTTCACACCGTCCTGTCGAGAAAACCTCTGCCAGGAACGAGCGAAAATAATGATAAAAATTCCCTCCAAGTTTTGTCATACTTGTACTGTACGAGCACAAGTACGCTTCTGTTCGGGACCGTAGCGGTTTATCAAAATTGATTTCGTGTGGGGTGGTGGGAATAACTGAGTAGGTGACACAGGTGACACGAGACAACATGCTCCATACCGTACTGTATATGATAAATTATTAACTCCTCAAGGCGTGATAACCTACCATACAGTACGGGTACGGGTTACAACTCGCGGTATCGAGCTTATCTCGCCAAAAGTTAATACTCGAGTACAGGTATCATGATACCGTAGAAGAAACCCTCTCAACGATAAATTTTTCTTTTTTTTTTCTTTTTTTTCTTTCCTGCTTTTTGCTTTTCTTTTTTACACTTCCTTCCCTTCCCTTCCCTTCGCCCCCAAATGGATGGAGGAGGAGGAGGCAATGAGCAAGGAATCATGATGGGGAAAAGAGTGTTTTGTTTTGTTTTAACATTTCGCCCTCCTCTTGGCTTGACCCCCAGGTTTCATCCTTCTTCTCCTCCTCCTCCTCTTCCTTTTTTGTCCGTCCGTCGGTCGGTGTGCGGGCATGATGGGAGAGACACTGTATCATATCATAATAATGGGAGAAGGAGGGAAAGGGGGGGGGGGGGGGAGGGACGTGAACATATATAACGTTGCTCGTGCTGTTTCACGCGTTTGTGTTTGTACTGGTACTTTGCCTCGGAGAGAATACTTGTACCTGGAAGGGTACTCGAGTACTTACTGGACTTGTCTTGTGAGTATGGTAAATAATGCGTGCGACCATGGCGGTTATGGTGCTGTATGATACAGTGCTCGCACAGGTAGATGCGAGGCTGCTCTTCTTGTTTGCTTGTTTGTTGGGCGGGTGGACCACCTATTCATCATACTGTACCGGTCTCATATGGTACCGTACCGTACCTGGTTCCTGTCCATCCATCCGTCCGTTCGTCAAGGTACCAATACTTGCAACAATATTACCAGTATAATAGTAACAGTATTAAGAAAACAACAATAAAATCCTTTCCAGTACTCGTATCAAATCATCAAGGATCCCACCCATCCCGTCCACAAGATTGAAAACAGAGGATCGAGCGAGCGGGAAAGCCCATCCATCATTTCCTTTCCTTCCTTCCTATACGGCCAACATCACTGTAAACAATAGCGATTAATGATACAATACAATCGTCCCTCACCCGGGACGGGACGGTGCACCCTGAACCGACGACAAGGCAACACACCGTACAAGTACAATACACCCTTCCTCCGTTCTCCGCATCGTCTACCGCACTCCGTACCCGTGTCATAGCGTCCTTTCCTTCCTTCCCACAATACAGAGCACACAGCAGGCAAAGGACAAGATATCGTACCAATCTTATCGGAAGGGAATTCCCACGTTCCCGGAAGCAGAAACCGACCGATAGCGTAGCGTACGGTACCTGACGCGAGCATCGCACCGCATCGCGTGGGGAAGGGAAGGGAAGGGAAGGGAAGAAAAAAAAAACGGTATTGCCCCACGCCAAGCAAATCCGCATGCAACATTCTCATCCCATCCTATCCCATCCCATCAAACGAACAAAGCAAGAAAAAAAAAAAAAATGGAAGAATGGAAGGAAGGAAGGAATGCCAAGGTCCGGATACTTATGCTCAAGCAGCCAAGCTACTAGACTACTGCGCACTCACTCACTCACTCACTCACTCACTTTGCGCAGTACTCGGGTACTCGTAAGGGGTATCCGGATTGTCAAGATCCGGGGTTATTAGTACAGTACCGTACCTGTCCGGTAGCGGGGGTGTGAAGGTTTAGCGTACCGTACGGGTAATGAAAGTAATGAGATGTCCTACCCGCTTGGTTGGTGCAAGTAATGTACCGGTACTTGCAGTGCGGTATGGTCCTTGTACTGTACCCTTTACAAGAGCAAAAGTACCGGTACCGTATGATGACAATAATAATAGTAATAATAGTGGTAATTATAATAATAATACCTCACTGGTCTGTACCCGGCAGGCTCTGCGGATTCTACCTGTACAGTGACTCTCGTCCTTCTTGCTTTCTCCACTTCACGATGGTTATCATATGATAAGTTACGTATGATACGGTACGAGTGCAGTAAGGTATCGGTATCAAAGTTCGATAGGGGAAGTACTGTACTCGTAAGTGTGGGTAGGGCAGGGCAAGCCATCGCAAGCAAAAATAAACAAAAATAAACAAAAAAAACACAATTCCTACTCTTCACTCGGTCATTCTCCCTCACGAGTTTGTCCATTACCGTACTATACTATACTATACCATAATACCACTCGAGTATGGCACCGTATAGACTGGCAAGTATCATACCACCACCACAAGTCCTATCCTATCGCTTACAATTACACATACGGCAGGTCACGAGCTCCGCTTGCATCGTACTTTTTCACTCGTACTTGTATTGTGCACTCGTGCGGTAATATCCTGCTCTATCATACATTTGCTTTAATGCCTGCTCGCCTTCCTTCCTATGCCAGCTTAGTCAAGTTACAATACTGTGCGGTGCGAACGAGCACACTCGTATATACATGCAGCGGAAAAGAAAAGAAAAAAATCCCAATAATGCCGCAGAGATAGCAAGAGAGAAAGAAAGAAAAAAAAAAAAAAAGAAAGGGAAACGGGATAAGCCTAGTGGGGCGCTTAGGATGGCACGGTACTCGTACAGAGTTTGTCGGTTGCCGGAAGCTTATCCTACTGTATGCAGCTTGGGGCCCCGGGGGAGGGAGGAGGTTGGGTTCGCCTCGCCTCGCCTCGCCGCTTTGCTCTTGTATCAGGATATCCCGCAACGC